TGCATCGATGGCCAATAAATAAATTTTTAAAACGTTCAACATTGCTGGCCACTAGAGAAATGAAATAACAGCTTGCTCCAGAAAGAACGGCCATCATCCGGAAACCTGACACTAACAAATGCTGCTGAGGCTAGGAGAAGGGGGTCCTCCTCCAGGCACTGTGGGAATGCAAACCAGTACCACCCCATGGAGAGTCCTCTAAAAAATAAAAGCAGATGCTGTGCATGGTTCCGCAAGTTCGTAATCCCAGGAATCAAGAAGCTAGACAGAAAGATTGCTGAGAGTTCAAGGCCAGCTGGACTACACAGTGAGTTCAAAACCAGCCTGAACTATGCAACAAGATTCTGCCTTAAAAAAAAAAAAAAAAAATTAAAAATTGGAATTCCATTTGAGCCAGTGACTCTCCTCCTTAAAAACATCCTCCCAAAAGAGTCAAAGTCATATTATAGCAATACATGCACGTACTCATGTTTACAGCAGCACAATTTATTGTGGAAACAGCCTGTATATCCATCCACAGATAAACAGATAAAATCTGTGGGGTTTTTTGTTTGTTTGTTTGTTTGTTTTGTCTTTTTTGAGACAAGGCCTGACCATGCAGTTCATGCTAGCCTTGGCCTTACTTTGTAGCTCTGGCTGGTCTTGAATTTGCAATGATCCTCCTGAGTGCTGGGATTACAGGAGTACGCCATGACACACAGTGAAAATGTGGATTTAGAAGAAGCCAATTTGCCCTTCCAATAACCCACACAAGCCAGCAAGAGAAGCCAGATCGCCCCTCCCGTGAACCGGCAGACACTACCTGGGCCTGGCAGGAACATCTGAAAATCAAGCACCCAATCTGCCTCTTCACACACAGTAAGCATGTGCCACACATAGCCCAGGAAGATCGGCCCTCCTGTGAGCAGACCTGTGCAGGCTCAGACTCAAGAACCAAGCCCATCAACACCCCTCAAGCAACTTGCTGGTTCAGAGGATAGGCTAAGTTGATAGCAACTGAAGTACAAAAACAAGTGAATGCTTGTACTGTTTGATTGACTTTCCAGGCTTAAGGCCTGTAGTCTGAGCATCTGTTAGGAGGATAAGAGTATGCACTATAGCAAATATGGGAGATTCTTGTCTTGTTTTTGAAATCCAGTATTATTCTGTTTTATTTTGCTCCAATTTACTGTTTTGCTTTATTCAATGTTCTGTTTTGATTGGCTTTATTCTGTTTTGTTTGATTTTACTGTGTCTGATGGAATGGACACCTATTTTGAAAATAACAAGATACACTATGGTAGCCATTGTTGATTTTCTGTTATCTTGCTTTGAAGTTCTGCACCACTTTCACTGCTTTGTTTTGACTGGTTTTCTGTGTTTTGTTTTGTTGAGTTTTATTATCTTTAAATTTTAAAAAAACTGAAGAAGGAAAAAAAAGAAAATTTGGTATTTATCCCAGTGGAGTACTATTCTGACATAAAGAATGATAAACTGCAGGCACTTGTAAGTAAACGGATGCACTGAGAAACCACAATGTTAAGTGAAATCAGGTACATGAGCTTAATCTGCTGTAACTCTTCTTAAAAACCCAAAATATAAGTAAGAGCAAAATAAAGAACAGTTAACAGGAAGTGGAAATTTTCTCAGATGGGAAGGGAAACAAGAAATGGAGGGAGAGGGGAAGGAAGGACGGAACGGAAGAAAGCGGAAAGGGTTTTAAAAAGCATCAAAGAGGGCTGGGAATTTAGCTCAGTGGCATAAGCACCTGGCAAGCTGAGGTCATGAGTTCGACCCCCGGTGTGACACCCCCCCAAAAAAAAGCATCGAAGAAAAGGTGGAAATGGAAGGAGCAGAGAGGGTTAGGAGGGGACAAAAAAGAATGACAATGTGCTATGGATATGTACAAATACCCCCTGATAAATGAAAATTATGTACTGCAGTTACATGATAATAAAAAATTATAGATAAGTGAATAAAATAGTCTTCGGTCAGAACAAAATTCTGTCTTCTGCACTCTAATAGGCCAGATAGTGTCATTCTAATTGATGCATGTATTCGGCTCCTAATGGTAACTGAAGCCGACCTAAACGGTCTATGTGAACAACTAAGCAGCTGCACTGACTTAGGAGAAGAGAAGTGTCCAATTGGAAAGAACTGAAGCCTACGAAATTATAATACATCTGACCATTGATCTGAAGTTGTGCATCTAACGATTAGACTTAAGAGCTGCAGTGACAAACCTCAAAGTGACCAAAAATGATCCTACCAAAAAGGATCAAACATACACCCACCAACAGTAAGACACTTACAGTTGAAGCAGAGCATCCTGAAGATAATTGTTTAAATTTGTTTTAATGAAATGGTTTTGCAGAAGAAACAAGAGTATTTGACCAAATGTAAAATGATGATCAGTAGTTGATAGTGACTTTTAAATTTTAATTACTATGTTTACTTACGCTGTACTATTAGCAAATATATTACTTTTATCTTTAAATTATAAGATTTTGTTGCATGACAGATGAGATCAGACATCCCTGTATATGGGACAACCCAGGGCATCTATAGATTCACCAATCTTCATTTGATCCAGGACCCTCAAGGCTCAGAGCTATCATTGTTCCTTGCAATTCTAGTGTCTAGTTCAGGCCCTAAACAGTAAGCTATGTTTATTAAGAATTGTTTAGCAATCTCTGGATATGGGCAGAAGCACCAACAAGGCAACTTGACTGTATCCTCAGGATCGTGCAAAGTGGCTGGGCTCCAGCGTCAACCAGGCCCGCGGTGAGCAGCTGCCACCAACAGTCCTGTAGGGTGCTCATCCTGAGAGAAGTTTCAACCCACTTTACTGAGTAGTACCCCTTGCTATTAAAATCCTTAACAAAGCACCGCCCAGGCCCCAGCTTTCAGGGCTGCTACTGAACTGAGCCACGCTGTTTTGCCAGGATCTTGCTGCTCTTGTCTTTTATGTAGAGAAACACATTAACAGAATGGGAAAAGTTTCTCTGATTTCAGGATCATTAAAAAACTTCTCAGAGTAACTGACATACTTTAACTTTACGAACACTAGGGATCTTACACCTGTTCTCTCCATCGGCAGCTGAGAGCTAGATCTACAGTCCTCATTCGGTAATTCTGTAGGACCTTAAGCCATCATTCTGTAAATTAATTTTTCTCTTTGTTTCCTCTCATTATTCTTCCCAGCCTCTATATAACCCCCCTTCTCTCTCTCTCTCTCTCTCTCTCTCTCTCTCTCTCTCTCTCACACACACACACACACACACAGATAATTTATATTTTCAGAAGTCTTTAGAGAACGGAGCAGGGCATTTAAAAAAAGCAATAAACCAAAAATAAAATACACCTCAGCCAAGCCCAAGTTTGCTTCGGCCAGTATGACCTATGAAACCAGCAGAACAAGAAAATAAACGTATAGCACTACTCTCCTTGCTGCTACAATCAAGGGTGACTGTTAGGAGCACTGTGACAGGAGTCTAAGGGCCAGGAGCCCCCTTCCTGCCTGGGCTCTAAAATACACATGCCCGGGGCAATGACTGTGGAAGAGAACTATCAGGCTTACCGCAGAGCCACACCACCTGAGTTTGCTCTCTGTGTCAAGTCAAACTGACAGTACTATTTCTCACTATAAATTACTAAACCAACAAGCGAATTACTATGGTAACCTTCTTTATGCTTGGATTCCACTTATAAATTAGTGTGGCGACAAAGTTCTCTACAAGCAGCAGAAAACTTTAGGTGTTTTTCCATTCTCTAAAGAGGAGGGAAAAACGGTGTCAAACAAGAAAACGGTTCCCGCGAGCTTCGCCTGATCCGTAACGCGGGATCCCTAAACCGAAGCGCGCAGGAACATGGGGGACGCGCCCCCGTGCGCGCGCGGTGCTCCCCTCTCCGGAGACAACACAGACTTCGCTTAATGTCTACAGCGAGGAAAACCTCACGGGCAGATTCTCAGGACATTCTTTAAAATCCCTGGTTCAGTTAAAAAAGAACAGCTCTACTCTGTTGGACACACGCAGTCCTGGTTTAGAAAGGGGCCACCTAGTCTAAGGGCACCTAAAACTTGAGCTTCTCCTTAGCTTCCATGTCGCCCCACAGAGCCTCAGTCTGGCCACGCCCATCCTCGCTCCAGCCCAAGGGTCTCGCGACTTCCTCCACACCCAGGCTGCCCAATCTAAATTCCCAGCGAAGGACTATTTAACCTACGTGTGTCTGTACATTATTTAAGAGCTGAAACTGGCCCCGGATGGCAAAGAAACATGGACAACTATGAAAGTTCTAAGAGCTTGATCAAGGATCATAAAACGCAATGAAATAATCGCGGAAACTACCTGCAACGAAAATTACTTCGAAATCTGATGAATATGGATTAAGTCACAGCCTCTGTTGACAAGAGCGAGGAGAGAAAAAAACTGAGCTCCCGGGGGTTTCTATGCTTCCTGTCATTGCCTCCCCTAAACAATGCACTTAGGAGAGTTCGCCGCAGCCACGGATTGACTTATGTCGGTTCCTTTTGATCTCTGCTCTCGCCACTTCGCGAAAGTATGCCAAGAACAAAGTAAAGGAGAACAAGGACGAGGAGCCTCAACGTCGCTCCGAGGAGCCGTTCCACTCCGGGCGGGCAAACGACGGTCAGGACCGCTCCTCCCGCCCGCCCGCCGGGTCCCCGCGAGTCCCCGCAGCCCCAGCCGCACCCAGCAGCAGCAGTGCACTTCCCGTCCGCCGGCCGGCCAGGGCGCGGACAGACAGCGCGGCGCGGCGAGGAAGAGGAAGTGCCCGAGACCCTGCGAGGCGGCTGGCTGCGCCCCAGGGCCCCGGCCTCCCGGAAAGCGCCGTCCACAGCTGTGGCGCAGCCCAGGGCGACCCTTTCCCGACACGCTTCTCACAATCCCTGCGCCACCGAAGCAGTTTGGCCCGGAGCGAGAGAGCGCAGCGCCCGGCCCCAGCCCCGTCCCCGTCTGCTCCGCGCCGTCCCTTGCCGCTCTCGGCGCCACGCTTCTCACCTGGTTTGACCGGTTTGGGAGGCGGCTTCGACATCTCGCTTCCTGGAACGCGAAGCTTGGCCGACCGCGCGTGTAAAGTCCACCGGACACCCCGTCGGCCGGCACCAGGCCGCCCGCGTCTACTGCTGTCAGGCTAGCACCGCGCTGCGCTCCGGGACCTGCCCACTCTTGGCAGCGCCAAGCGCGAACGCAGCTGAGGCGCTCCGCCGAGTGCCAGCCCCGCCCCGCCACGCCCCGCGGCCGCCGGGCTGCTAGAGCGCGCGCCGACCAGGAAGTGGCCGCCGCCTCGCCGCGCACTCATTGGCTACGGAGCCAGACGGGAGGGCGGGGAGAGGTGGGAAGCACCGCAGCGCGCGCCCGACGGCACAGCACCGGAGCCGCGCGGGGGCGCGTGCGCGAGGCCGCGCGCGCGGAACCCCGCCTCCCTGGAGTAGTTCAGGGACGCCGCGGACGCCGGCTGCCGCCCCGCGGTCGAGCTTCCCGGAGCTCTCCGGCGCCTGGCGCTTTCCGGCCTGCTCGGCGCGGTGAAGGAGCGGCCGCGGTCCCAGGTGAGTCTCCGCCGGCCTGCGTCGCTGCAGTGCGGCCGCAGGGGTCCCTGTCCTCAGATGCATCTCGGGAGTCTTGTTGGGATACGGCCCAGCCGGGCCGGCACGCCTGCGGAGGACTGCTTCGGATGCAAGACGCGCAGCGCGGAGGAGCTGGAAGACAGCTCTTTATTACGCTCGAGGGCTGGGGAACTGAGTCCCAAACTAGCCGCATTTTGGCGTTAAACTGACCCTTGTGTTTGCCTTAGGCGGGAGATACAAGGCTAATCGCTGGTTGCTTTCTAATCGGTTACACGGGCTGGGTCAGGCAAACTTGCTTCGGGCCGAGGGAAGTTTCCTGCCATGCAGCAGGAAGGTCAAGGGCTCGGGCCAGCAGAAGGCATCAGGCACTGGCTTCAAACCGAGTTAGCACCGCAAGATGGACTTTGTGGCTGAGTTCTCTCTGTCCTACAAGTTATAGCTGGCGTGGGAATCTCGAGGCTGAGTCTAAACGAGCTGGGCCCACATTTCCTGCTTTTACTTTACTGTCAGGTTGTAAGTTTCAAATTTTCTTTTACAAATTGAGAGACTTGCAGGCAGAGACAGGACAGACAAACTGCAGCCCGCCTGAATGATAGCCTGCGCCTCCCTGAAGCCTCAGTTAGTGAAGCCTGCTAGGAATGCTTCTTGGCCTTTATAGTGTCCGAGAAGGAAACAAATGAATAATAATTATCTTTAAGAAATATTTTTTTTTTGTCTTTTTGTGACAGGGTCTCACTGTGCAGTTCAGGCTGACCTTGCGCTCACTTTGTAGCCCAGGCTGGTCTCAAACTTGCAAAGAATTCTCCTGCCTCAACCTCCCACGTGCTGGGATTACAGGAGTGCGCCACCGCATCCAGCTAAGAAGTAATACTTTGTGCACATGAAAATTGCATGAAATTCAGATTTCAGAGTCCATCGAGCAAGTCTGAACTAGTGCAGAGCCATGCCCAGCTTTGGATGGGTCGTGTGTGGTGCCTTGTTTCTTCCAGTGCAGGACTGAGTAGCTACATATTGGCAAAGCTGAAAACATTTCCTGCCTGGCGCTTTATAAAAAAAACTGGCCCAGTTCTGACCTAGCATATTGAGTTCAAATGGCAGCATTAATATTATAAAGGTAGTGAGTATTTGAGGGGAAAGAACTGTTATGTAAGAGCCTGTGTGAAACAAAGCTTCAGATTTTCTGCTACAAAATAATTCTAACTGGGAAAGGGCATGGTGTGTGTTTGTGGAAACTCCAGCACTGGAGATTTCTCTATTTACAGAAAGTGGGCAAAGTTTAAACAAGGAAGAAAAAAACTGCCTCCTTTGGAGGAAGAACAGTCAAATATCTGTTGACTAAAATAAATGAATGAAAAGTCCTAAAAGTACTTCACTCTTTTCAGCAGATCAGACCACCCTTCAGACACATTTGAAAAGCACACCTTGTCGCAGCTGTCATCTCTCAGGCCATCACTGTGAGAGGGAGTGGCTCCTTTCCTTACAAAGTGCTGACTGGCCACATGCCCTTGGATGGAGTCTGTGGTTAAACAATCCAAGAGCTATTAGTGAATCATATTAAACATAAACATACCAGTGATAGGGAAAATATTCAACGTTTTACTCAGTGAAAAATAAAAGTCTTAAATATTAAATGAATATTAAAATGATTCATTTTGGGTTTGCTGTTGACTGCCCCAGCCTGTCCAGCTCCCTTGCAAATACTCACTGCTGCTTAGAAAGCTTTGCACATGTTGGGAAAATAAACTGCATTCACATTCTGTGAGATTGGAGGTGAATCCTAGCAGTAAGATGCTCTTGATTGCAAACTTTAAATTTGGTTTTTAAATAGTTTGTAAAGAGGGAGCAAGATGTGACGTGGACATGGACTATGCCAGGCCTGAGCCCGAGGTTCCATTGAAGTGGCCTTGGGAGTCACTCCGGGATTTTGAAGTAGATGTTTTCAAGGATTTGTAGGCCCGCCTCCTGCATACCCTGGCCCTCTCACTCTGTCATCTGCTCATTGTCGCTAGACATGCCCAACTGCCTGGCACAGGCCCGGATGCTAACCAACCGATGTAGAGCTAGGGGTGCCTGCTTTGTTAAAAATCCGTAGAAGTTTTGCTGTAGAAGTTCACTCCCTTTCTTGCCCGAAGAATGTTTTGAGTAGGTGCCTGACTGCTCTCACTCCTGGTTTTCTAGCAATTCATTGCTAGAGTTTCCACAGGCGTCCCCTGCCACAGTAATGGCAGCTCCACTTGTCATTTACATGCTAGGAAACTGACGCATCCACGTCACATGTGCGCACAGATGTCGCAGTTGGAAGGGAACCGGCAGTCCATTCCATTCAGTGTGCACAGCAAATACTGTGCCCATCAATAATACATCGATAGGAGTGACGTCGGTGACACATCCAAGCTGGCAGTGAAGCGAGCGTAGGCACAACACCCTTTCAGTGCTGCTGGTAACAGTGTTTGTAGCTGCTTGGAATGATGGGAAGAGGCAGACTTCGCTGATTTAGCTTACGCCTGGCTTTTCCAACCACTATGTGTTGATCTTGGTCTTGTCATCCAGTCGGGGCCAGTCTCCACCTCTACAGGTGACAGCTAAGCCTATGTTTCTCTATGCTTGCGTTTTTGCACCAGCAAGCTATCCAAAATTAAATGAGATGGGAACAATGCGTGATAAAATTTTGCAATTTTGTTTAAAATCTGCTCTGCGAGGGCACCAATCTACCACCATCTAGTGACATGATTTCTGAGAGAAAACTCAGTTATCACCAAAAAAGAAAGATAGATCCCATCTCAGGATAAAGGGCAGTTGATCCCTACCCAAAAAAGAACTGTTAAAAAATAAGACAAAATTTAAAAGCATAAAAACTTGTTGTATATTCATCGAATGCAGTCGTTTCCTTGCTCCACATTTGGATGGAGGTCCGTATCCAGCAGTGCAAGGCCAGAGGACTCAGATATCCCAACTCCTGCTGGTTCGCTTCCATCAGGGTCAGTCTCCAACTGCTGTTTCCCACAGACTGCTAGTGGGAACCTCAGACCGCTGCATACCGCGTTGCTCAGGCCAGGCTTGAATTTAGGGCAGGCTGAGACACAGCAAAGGCACCGCGGCCCTCTCCTCGTCTGGCTGTTCTTCACAGCCTTCTTCAGGGAGGTCAGGGACAGAAATGGGGAGCCAGAAGCCACCCACTTTGGCTATGCACCCTTCCTGAGCAAACAGACAGAGCAGCTTCAGTCAGGAATGACCATGAGAATCCTGCTTCTGGGGTGCCTGCAGCCACCCTCCAGCTTTTCATTTAGCCTATGTAAGCACCAACAGTCACTTTGGTGAGGCCTATTGGCCAAGTGAAATGCCCTCTGCCCCTAGACCAGGGGTCAGCGAACAGCCTGCTGCTTAAGTCTGGCCACCTGCCTGACACTGGCAGTTTCATAAGAGAGAATACTAGTTTAGAAATCTAAGCAAAGGAAAGCCAGGTGTGGTGGCGCGTGCCTGTGATCCCAGCATACTGGAGGCTGAGACAGGAGGATCATTGCAAGTTCAAGGCTGGCCTGGGCTGCAAGGTGAGCTCAAGTCCAGCCTGACTTGCATAGTGAGACACTGTCTCAAAAAGAAAAAAGAAAAAGAAAGAAATCTAGGTAAAGGAATTGTTACTCCAAGTAAAGAGAAATTCCATTCACATCATGAGCAGGCTTATTTAACCCCCCCCCCAATAGTGCTCTATTATGATTATATATCTTAAATATCACAAAAATTTTTGTGAAAATTTGCTTATTTGTTGTATAAGTCCCAATGTAATAACTCAGATTAGACTTCTCAGTCCAAGTAGCCTCGAATATTTACTGTCTGGTCCATTTCTAAAAGCATGTGCCTCACCAGCCCCTAGACCTAAGCAAGAGTTAGGAAAGAATGCTATTGTTAGGAAAGAGGATATTGGCTTTGTTTCCCCCAGCTAGCAGGGATGTGTTTCCTCTTTCTGGAGGAGAGAAAAGAGGTTGCCTCTGAAGCCTCCCTGCCTCTGGGACAATTGGCCACCGGTGACTGAATCCGCAGGTGAAAGGGCCCTGAGCAAGAGGCAGCTGAAACTCTAGACCCAGCTGTGCCTGCAAACTGAGACCCAAAGGCGTCAGTTCCCTCCCTGTTGCTTGGCAGGCCCTGAGCACCCGTCAACTGCATCACTTTGCGGTAGCCTGTCTGCCAGAAGCCTGCAGGCCTGAAGCTCCCCAACCCACGGGAAATGCAGGCTGGGGTGGTTCAGCCACCACTGCCATCATCCTCAATGTGCTGCTGCCGCGAATTCAGGGTCACTTTCTGACCTCCCTCGATAGCTAACTGGTACACATTTATTTTTTTTAACTCTAGGAAATATTAGGAAGACGTGATTTTCAAAGCCAATTATGAAAGCCTTTGTCATCGGAATTGGTGGGTGAGTAATTTTAATACAGAGGGCTACTCGAGATACTCTGTGCTAGGTATGATCAGGCACACCTGTAATACCAGCATTCTGGGAGGCTGAAGCAGAAGAACCCTAAATTTAAGCCCACCCTGAGCAACTGGATGAGACCATGTCTCAAAATATTTTTAAAAAGGGGTCGGGGGGCAGAGATACAGCTGAGTGCAAAGACTACTATCTCAATCCCTAGTGCCAAAAAAATACAAATAAAAGATACTAAGGTGTCCTAGTGGTATTCTCATGCGAATGTGGAGGGCATAGAGAGACAGGGGAGCTGTGGGCATCCCCAGTCCTGGCGAAGAGCAGATTGTTGCTAGCAGGAGGGGAAAGTTCCTGTAGACAGTGAAAGGAAAGAGTCAGCAGTGTTTGCCCACCAAAGCAAATGCCAGAGGGAGAGCGACTAGACCCTACTTCTGGTTCAGGGTTGTTTATTACTCCTCATACAGGTGGTCCTCCAGCACAGTGAAAGAGAAAATCATTTTCTTCCTTGTATACCCAGTTTTTGGTGTGTGGAATAGAGACAGCTCACTTCTGTTCCTTTTTCCCCATATGTGTGATGATCTTATGTCCTAGGCGTTTGGCCTGCTCGTGTGCTAAGGGGCAGGGAATGTAGCTCAGAGGCAGAGTGCATGCTTTCCACACAAGGCCCTGGTTCAATCCCCTGCACTCCCTCCAGAAAAGTCCTAGTTTATATGTGTGTCACAGCCTGGGTACCAGAGGCCAGCATGCAAATGAGACATCAGTAGGGACCGACAAAGACATCATCCGTTCTGCTACCACATTATGTTCCTCTTTCTTCTAAATACTTTTGCGTTTTATGGGGCCCGTTAATAAAATACTTGCCTTAGGACTTAAAGTAGGTAACTTGAGGGAGATCATTGTATTGTATTGTATTGTATTGTATTGCTTGGGAAATGGTCATTTAGAAGTAAAGCAGCAGGATCTGTGTCAGAACCCACTTCACTTTGCCTGCTGTCTGACTGGAGCCTAGCCTTAGCATCTCTACAGCAGTGCTCCTGCCCTTCCCTGTCTCCCTGCGCATGCTGCCACCCTTCCAATTCAAGGTGTCAGCCCTAATTCTGCTCATAGTGTTTGTCTTATAATACTCTACCAGTCATCTTCACGCAAAGCATTTCTCCCTGCTGAACAAGTCAGTAGTTCCTAACTATTTAGAATGAAGTCTAAGTGCTGTGCTATAGGAGTGCTATCTGTAAATCAGAAACGAGTTTACCAGCTGAAGGAAGGTAGGCTGTTAGGAAAGGCTTGATTCAGGCATTCAGTGATATCATCAAGGACTGTTCCCATCTCTCTTTGTCCCTCCCAACCTTCCTCTCTCTCATTGGCTCCTCCCTAGGGTTTGGCTGGCCCAGCACGTTCTGTGATCTTCGCGCTTTGTTTTAGTTTGTCACGAGGGGAAAAAGTGATGTCTCTTCCACCAGGTCATGGGCATCCCTTTGACTAGACCTGCATGGCTCACAGACCCTCGGCCACCTTGCAGAGACGTGGGACATGGGTTGGTTTGGGCAGGCAGGGCTGTCCTAGAGCAGAGAGTGTCCCACCACAGCAGTGGCAGAAAGAGACCTGGAAGCTGGTGCAGCAGCCCTGAGTCCACCTGCACACGCCTAAGTTACCCTCCTCTCAGTGCTCCAGGATGGCCTGCTGTCTGGAAACTAATCTCCCATCTTCCCACCACATGCAGGAGCACTAGCCCTGACCCTAAGGAAACCTCCTTTCCGCTTCTTAGCAGATTTCCTTTAGAGCCACTGCTTCTGGGACGCGCGTACCAGACTGGGCTGTGGGGGCTTCCATGTCCGCCTCTGTCCTTCCTCCATAGCCACCTTGTGGTGACTTTCCTGCTCTCCAACTATATGCTGCCCTCAGAGGTCATCATTCAGTTGAAACTACGAGGAAATTTTAGAGGTTCTGAGGGAATTCAGTATTCCTCCGGAAGATTTAAGGCATGTATAGAAATGTTTTCTCCTGGAAACAGAGTTGATTTGATTTGATTCTGGGGTTGTCCCAGAACTTTGAGCACACTGAGCACATCCTCTACCACTGAGTAAGGCCCCATGCAGAGAAAAGGGTTTGTAACCTCCATCAGTTTCTCAGGGCCACAAAGCTCCGTGTTAGCAGTGGACTTTATTTCTCATTTCCATAGTTTACTAGTCGTTGTCTTGGGCAGTCTTATTGGTAAATAATTTTTTAATCCCTGGTTCCTCAATTGTAATATGGCAACGTTAGTCTCATCCACCTGTTGAAGAAAGAGTTCTCCGGTCGTTGGAGTAATAATTTGTACAAAGCATAATGAGATTACCCCTGTGTACTATCTAGTGTAAGCCAGATTCACTGCAGTGTGGACTTTGAGCGTGGTTTAAGACATTTTCCTTTAACAGGAAAACAGTTGTAGCAGCCCTCACCCTAGGACCCCAGGACCGCCTGCTCCAGTGCTGCTGCCCCTGCCTGTCTCACCCTCAGCAAGCCCTGGGCTGGGTCAGCGCCCAGACACTGTGAGCCCCACACTCAGGCCATTTGAGCAGCCCCTCTTCTACCCAGCTCTGCTCCAGCACAAGAGACAGAGATCTGCGGACGCTTACACATCATTTCAGGAAAGTCACATACTGTATAGAAAAACTGCTGGCTTCCTTTGGAAGTTTGCATTGAGATTATAGCTTATAGTACTGTTTTTTGAAACCTGGAGTTGTTACTAAGATGAACATTGTAATTAAAGGTTAGAAGCAGTTGTTTTCCACGTGGACTTCCTGCTGTTAAAAAATAATTATAAGGGACTGGGGATTTAGCTCAGTGGCATAAGTGCTTACCTTGCAAGCAGACGGTCGTGAGTTCGATCCCTGGTACCAATATAAATAAATAAAAAATAGTTATAATAATATTCTCATTAGCATCTGCATACTTGTTCCTTTTTCACTGAAATTATCTACATATTATTCAGTTATATTTTTTAAGGTGAAATGGGAAGTCTTATGAAACAAGTTTCTCCTGCTTTGTGGGTGTAAGCTACTTAGGTGACTGTACAACATATACTTTTGATGAATAAATCTTTTATTTTTCCTTTTCTAAAATATAAACATTGATTCGGACCTCATCTGGGATTAAGCACAAATTCCTGCAAATAGATACACAGTTGGGAGTTTTGTGCTGTGGATCTTGTGGTGCAGTGAAACGCTGAAACTTTTTCAGAACAGTGCTTTACATATAATGCACAGAGTAAAATGCAGGAATACAAAGGAAACCAGTTACATTAAAACAGTTATAAATGTCTTAACAAGTGTATAACACTGGGACACACACACTTAACGTAACAATAACTACCAGAATCCAGTGGTAGATCCACAATTGCCATAAATTTAATAATGAATGTCAATGATACCCCCAGATAATCCTCTCCTACTGTAATGCATGTAAACAATATATGTAATTTCTGTTGACAATATCACAGGTACTAGTAATACTACAATAGCTTATTTCGCTTAGTTTATCATTTACATTTACAGTTAAAACGATACATTTCTGTTAGAATTTAGCAAAGTTAAGATGTAACTTCTTTCCCATTCAAGTTCACAGCACCCTGAGTGCGGCACAGCCCATGTTGGGGTGGCTGAGCCCAGCCTGAAACGCCTTTGAATAAAACACAGTACAGAAAAGTGCAACTCCTGGTGCTGGAAAACAGGACAGACAGGTGGGGAGGTGCAGGTCGGGTGCTGGCTCTGAGGGACAGACAGACTGCTGACCTGATATGACAAGCGGACTGGAAGGTGCAGAGCCGGGGTGTGTGTGAGTGAGTGTGTGTGCAGTCCTGCCCGGGAAATGTGACTCCCTGACGGGGAGGATTGCAGCAGCCACTCCTTTCTCTTGCCCATTGTGTGTTGGGACGGAATCACAGCTGCCGCCCAGTTTTGCACCCTCGCATTGAAAGCAGCCGTGCCGTGTATGATTCTCAGATGCTTTGCATTAGACTAGTGATTCTTTTGCTTCCAGCACACTATTTGTGTTTTGAAGTCTTGGGACCCAGTTCACTTGCCAGTCACTAGTTCCTGGGTCCTCCTTTGCTCCCAGCTTATTTCTTACCGTTTAGTACATTCTATCCAGCAGTGCCTGTGGTCAAAACCTATGAAGGAAGCTATGTATTCTTAAGCAGAAAACAGTGTTTTAAATATCCTTTGCAAGAAAATGATTTTTAAATGCTTCCTGTTTCTTCGTGCATTATCACTTTCTCTTTTTTCTTTGGAGGACAGTGTGACAAACGGCGGAAAGACGACGCTGGCAAAGAATTTGCAGAAACGCCTCCCAAACTGCAGCGTCATATCTCAGGATGACTTCTTTAAGGTGCTGATAAAACTTATTACATAACGTGTTGTAGCACAGAAATGTTTCGTGACAGTCATTGACCATCATCCCAGAGCTTTGCTGAGCCACCGCTTTATACTAAAGGCAGGCTCAGAACAAGTCGCTCCCACTAGATGGCGCCATCTGTCAGCACTGTTGTTTGATCTCCATGGAAAACATTTATCTCCTGGTTCTAGACATTACATTATTTTTGCCCTTCCAGTGGTTTTGATGAGTTCTTTATTATTTTTCCAGCCAGAGTCTGAGATAGAGAAAGATAAAAATGGATTTCTGCAGTATGATGGTAAGTAGATTTGCTTCTAAAAAATTACCTTGCAAGTGTTCATAAACCAAAGAATTTGTTTATGGAGACAGTCTTAAAAGTGTTTAAATCTGTAGCTTACTTTAAATATGCTTTTGTAGAGTTGTCTGATTTAGAGTCAACTGTTTATTTTTTATGAGTACATCTTTGCAGTATATAACGATGACAGTTATTGAGGAGAATAGGTATGTACCCATCACACCTCTAGCTCCATCGCTTGGTCCCCTCGAGGTTTGCCAAGGGAAATATTTCCATTCTTTTCCTTTCAATTGTTTTTTCCCTTTCATCTCCTGTGCCCCTTCCTAAGTGAAAAAGAGCTGCTTGGTTCTTATTTATATTGTACTTCGTTCTTTATTTATATTGAGTTTCTCATACAAGAATAACCATGTGGGGCTGGGGATTTAGCTCAGTGGCTTAAGCTCCTGCCTGGCAGGTGGGAGGTGGTGAGTTCAATCCCCGCTAGCACCAAAAAAAAAAGATAGCCAAGTGATATTTAAGCTTGTGTGTCTGATATATTACACTTAATAGTGTGTTCTCAAGGCCCACCCATTTATATATAAATGCCTCAAACTAATTAGAATAATTTCCCCACATTTTTATTTAAGACTGAAAGCATAGGCGTGATAGATTTTGTTCTGCAGGTGGGGCAAAGTGGGTTCACCGCCCCTCTACTTGCCCTTGCCCTCCACTTAAATAACTCACTGTGTGTGCCTGGCCGCACCTGAGTACTTCACCAGGGCAGCTCTAAGCCCCCCTCAGCTTTTCCTCCTGGGGGCTGAAGCACCTGGAAGTTTATTTCTTTCTTTTTCCTGCTCAGAAAGACTTAGGAATGTTTTTAGATGGATTCACTGCATTCTCTGGCCCCAGGCTTACACGGTTTTAAAGCTAAAGGATTAGAGTCTACCAGAAAACATTTATTTCTGATAAAGAACATCACAGTATTAGATTATGTAATATTTAATGGTTTTAGTAACTTAGAATTAACAAGATGATCATTGAGTGCTTACACAGACTAGCAATAGAGAGATCTCTCTTAAAATATAAAGTAAATTCATGAATTTTAAATTTGAGGGTCTTAAAGGGAAACATAACATAACAGCTCAAACAGACACATAATCTTTTTAAAAAAATCCTTGATTCATTTTCTGTTCTTGTATCAAGTTGAATTTTTTTCCTTTCTTCTCATCCAAAGGTTAGTGAGAAAGTTTATTACAGAGAATCAAACCATACAACACTAGTTTCAACAATTGACAAAGAATTATTATTCCTACTTCTTAGTGCAATCCAATAAAAAAAACTAATATCCCCAAAATAGGTATAAGAACGTGAAGAACCTATCCACAGAATTATTGAGTTATAGTAGTAATAAATACAGATTAAAAAGTCATCCTCCAAACAAGTCAGAGAACTGCAGGTTACTTTTTCCCCACTTACAAAGTACAGAGATCTTTAAAGCAGCAATAGTTATACAGTGATGACAAAGACTCAAGAACTCCATGCCTGGATAAATCTGGAACTGGATAAATCTGGCTCAGAAACCTTCAGATGTCTCTGCCATAAGCTCAAATATCCCACGTCCAGGAATCTAGCTTAAAAACTTTTTTCAGACTTTTCAGATAAGTGTGACATGTACAGTAGATCAAGGTGGTGTTGGCATCTTCACAAGCGCTAAAAACAGAACACTTAAAATCTGTAGCTGTCAAACAGAGAGAGGAAATAGACTCATTAAAATGTAATTGATAACTAAAAAAAAAGTCAAAAACGGAAAAAAAAGCAAAGGATGATGCACAATTAAGAACAATAGTTAAGATTTAAACCCAAAATCTCAGCTGCGATACTAAGTTAAATGAACTAAAATATTCTAACAATTGTCAGACAGGATTTTTCAAAAAGCCAATTATAAGCTCCTTAAAAGAAACAGACTTAAATATGAGGGACATAGGAAAGTGGACAGCACAAGGCTGGTATATGACAGTACCAGCCATACTAATACCAGGGTGGGAGAGTACGCTTTAAGGCAGAGTAGCACTAGGGATAAGAGGGAAAGTGTTCAATTCAACAGGAAGAGAAAGCAACTTGAAATCTGTATGCTCAGCAAAACTCAAAATACACCCAGTAAAAACTGACAGAAGAAAAAGACAAATCTGTGACTATTGCATCACTTCTTATTCCAGCTTCCTTTGTGATGGCTTAACAGAAATGTGTTATCTCACCGTTCTGGTGGCCTGAAGTGAGCTTGGTGTCAGCAGGCCTGGCTCCCTGTGAGGGTCCTGAGAGCAGATCCGTCCCACGCCTCTCTCCAGCTCGCGGTTATTGCAGGAACCTTTAACATCCCAAGCCCAGCTTCACTACCCACCTCTGCCTGTGCCACATGGCTTTTCTTCCTGGGGGGGTGCACCCAGATTTTCTCCTTTTAAAAGGGTGGCAGACGTACTAGTAGGGCCTGGCTTATTTCAGTCTGACTTTAGCTCCACTAATTACACCTGCAACAAATGTATTTCTGAATAAGGTCCCTCCTAAGGTCCGGGGGCAGGACTTCAGTGTGTGAATCTGGACAGGAGTTGGGGTGGTCACAGGAAAACCTGGAAGACTTGGTAATGGACCTGGCAAACAAAAATTATTAATGGTGTAACCAATTTGAATAATACAGGTCAAAAAATTTGATCAGACTGATAGAATACGCATCCGACAGCATCAGGACGCAGCCTTTTTCCTCTAGAACATTAGCCCAGATAGGTTATAGGCAAGAGCAAGGAGTGAGTCCCAAAATCTCAAGAGTTGAAGTAACACAAAATATTCGGCTAATCACAGCAAACTGAATTAGAAATCAGTAACAAAAGGGTAAAGAGAAGATTCTCAAGTGTTGCAAATTAAATGGCATTTTTAAAATTTTTCTTATGAGAAATTTCAAACATAAACAAAAATGAGTAGAAAGAGATAATGAACTGAACTCTCACAAGTTTACCATCCAGCTTCAAAAATTATGATCCCTTAGAGGCTGGGGACTTAGCTCAGCGGAATAAGCGCCTGCCTAGCAAGTACAACATCCCGAGTTTGATCCTCTGTACTAAAAAAAAAAATAATAATACTGAACCCTTGACCAATCATTCATCTATACTTTCATCCAGTTCTTCCTTTTACATTATTTTAAGGCAGATCCTAAAATTGTGACATTTAATCTTAAGTGAAAAACTTACATATTCCATAGATCAAAGATCCCAAAGAAACTTAGACAAAAAAATTTTTTTGCAACCTTGCCTGGCCTCAAACTCGCAGCAATCCTCCAGCCTCAGCCTCCCAAAGTGCTGGAATTACAGACATGTAACACCAGGCCCGGCTCAAATCAAATAACTCCTCAGGTGTTGCGTTGTGTTGTGTTGGTACCAGGAATCAGACTCATAACCTCACGCTTGCCAGGCAAGTGCTGTGCCACCGAAATATATCCCTGATCTTAGAAAAGAGTTTTAACTGAGTAATAATGAAAAACTGTTTCAACATGACTAGGGCTTCTGGTTTTAGCCAAGATAGATTAGCCCCGTATCTCCCTCCTACAGCCAAAATTCTCGGACATAACATGCAAGCAAAGGAAGGCTTCAAGGTAAAGACAGAGAGCAGGCTGGCCCTGGTGTCAGGAATGACCTGGCCGCCAGTCCCTGGGGCCTGCTTTTTGCCTTGCAGATGTGCAGAATGAGGTGTTGGCAACGCCTGCTACATAGAACCGCGCACAGGCATGAACAGAAAAGCATCATGAAGCCCATTCCCTGAGCCAGGGACCAGGAAGAGGGTGGCCCAGCAGAGCAGAAGAGCTTTGCTAGGATGCCAACCTACTTTAGCCAAATACAAAAAGAAACCTGCTGCCCTTATCCTGGGAGGAAGGCCTGGTGGAGACCAGTGCTTCTGACCCACTCAGCACGGGCGAGTCAGGGAGTGTCTCTGGAGCTAGCAGGCTGCACCCCACCCCTCCTCACCAAGTATCAGCTCCTCTCAGCAAGCCCGGGGAGAGGGCTGAGCTTCTACCTCACCTAGCAGCAAAAGAAGCGGAACCTGTGTTATCTTGCCTTTTGCCCTCTGGCTCCACCTTCCCAGTGTCACGTGAACAGCAGAGCTAAACCTGCAGGCCACACTTCAATGGGGTGGCTGCCTGCACAGAGGGCTGAGGAGCGTCCTGAACTTCGTAACTCAGCACCTGAAGTTTCCAAGAAACAACTGAAAATAATGTGCCACACGAAGGGCAAGAAAGACCTGAGCGTGATTAGGGAAACAACAGGCAGTAGACAGCAATACCATGAGACACAGTTGTCAACATTATCTGCTGGGTTAAAGCAGTGTTATTAAAAGGTTTCAGCAGCTAACTGCAAACATGCTTGAAACAGTAGAAAAGATAGAAGACCTCAGCAAAAGAAATAGATGATGTTATTAAGAGAATAAAAATTTTGGAACTGGTAAAATATGATAGCTAAAAATTAAAAACTCATTAGATTAAAACTCAGCAGCAGAATAAAGGTGCGGGGAGAAGAAGCAGAGAACTTGAGGATAGAATCATAGAAGTTTTTCTGAGCCGTGGAAGACTGGGAAGAACAGAAATACGGAACAATAGTAAAAGATCTAACATTCATATTGTTGGAATTTGAGAAAGAAGAGAAAGTATAGTACTAAAAAAATACTGAAGTAATAATAGAGTGGTTTTTAAATTTGATACAGGGTAGAGATCTATGAATCTGAGTGATCCTCAAAAACGGGTTAAGCAAGAATGAGCAAGAAAAGAACAGAAAAGGCACATACTTAAGTATCAAAAGTGAGAGATAATGTGACTACAGACCCTGTATATTTTAAAGAGATACAGGAATTATGAGTACTCTTAGAAAACAAATTAGAAAACTTAGATGAGACTGATCATCTCCTAGAAAAAAATATTACCAGGTCACTTACAGCTTACAAAATTAACACTTTAGCCAGGCATGATGCACTCCTATAATTCCAGCACTTGGGAGGCTGAGGCAGGAGGACCACTTGCAAGTTCAAGACCATCCTGAGCTACAAAGTGAGCCCAGGACCACCTAAACTACATAGCAAGAACCTGTCTCAAAAAAAATAAAAATTAATACTTTAACAAAGAGAAAATGTTAATAGTTCTATATATATTAATGAAACGGTACTTTTAAAACATTCCAGTTTTTAAAAAAACAAAAATAGATAAATAAGTAAGCTCTGACCCCCATAGATTGATTTAGTATTTCTGGAGTACCACCAAGAATCTATATTTATGAGAAATCCCCAAAGTTGGTCTGGGGATGTACTTTGAGAATAACTGATGCAGGCTAGTTTTCTAGAATCACAACCATAAACTCAGATAAAATACATGTATGCATTTAAAATAGCATATTTTGTCATAGTATTTTAAAGTATTTATCTACCTCAGCTCTTTTATATCAAAAATGTTAGCTCTCTGCCACGTGCACTACAGATATTTTCCATAGCATGTCATTTATCCTTCAAACTTAGCTGTAGCTATTTGTTCTTCTACAATTTTTATTTTATATATAGTCAGGAAAGACTAGAAGTGATAAAGCAAATTTAGCTATAAGTTTATGATTCTCAAAGCTAGAAATACAGATATGAAGTTTATGATGCTTTACTGTCTCCTTTGTATATGTTTAAAATTTTCCATAGTAAAGTTGTTTCAAACATACAAATTTTATAGGTGTTAGATGATCATTATTAGCATATTTGTTATTCAGCGTCCTCAAAGGCAAATAAATGACACTATATTGGACATTTACAGAACCCAGAATATACTCATCCCAAAAACCTGCATCACAAAGTATTTGTTTTGCTGATTTCGTGTTTTTGTTTTTCTGAAGTACTGGAGGCACTTAACATGGACAAGATGATGGCAGCCATCTCCTCCTGGATGGAGAATCCAGGCCGCTCCCTGGAGCCCACAGCTGGCAGCAGTGCAGAGGAAATGCCCATTTTAATCATCGAAGGTTTCCTTCTGTTTAATTATAAGTAAGCATCCCCACTGCAATCCCTCCTCTGAATGAGAGGGGGGAGCCACGTAAACTGATGTGCTCTCACCTTAGGCCCCTCGATGCTATATGGAATAGAAGCTATTTCCTGACCATTCCATATGAAGAGTGCAAGAGGAGAAGGAGGTGAGTTTGGACATCACCTCCATGGATTATATTAAAAAACAAGGGGCTGGGAATTTAGCTCAGTGGCATAAGTGCCTGCCTTGCAAGCGTGCAGTCGTGAGTTTGATTCCTGGTACTAATAAAAATAAATAAATAAAACAAGATGTACTGAACATGAGGAGAGGAACATTATCAGGCAGTACGGATGGTCAGTTTTCAACAGGGAAGCTTTGGCTCTTCACGAAGCAGATGGCCATTCACGTGGAGCAATGCACATTACTGCTCAGAGAGAAAGGCTTTCTGTCCCCGTTTGACTCGTTTCCCAGATCTTCAGATGAAGCAGTCCTGTGTAACTATAGTGTACCTGTAATCTACGCAGCTACAGAGAGCGCGGTGAGCATGGAGCTTAGTCCAACACAGTGGTGTCTCTGTTGTTATCCACGCTGACTCTTACAGGAAGAAAGATAATTACAAATGACAGTGAATTGGGAAATGAATTTTTATGTTGGAGAACTAAATTCACTTTACTGTCTTTGTGAATTGCTGTAGAATCTAAAGCTGCCAGGAGTGTCCATCCTGTTCACACTTAATCTTGGGTTTGCCCATTATCCTGCGCATTATTGTTTTACATTTTGTATTTCTCGCAACATGAATTTCCCTTGGTGTTTTAACAGTACAAGGGTCTACGAGCCCCCGGACCCACCTGGGTACTTCGACGGGCACGTGTGGCCCATGTACTTAAAGCACAGGCAAGAGATGGACAGTGTCACCTGGGAGGTTGGTAAGTGCCCTCCTCCCATCCCGTGAGGCCCTTTGCTTGTCACTTGTCTCAGAGCTCATCAACCAAAGGAGACTCTGGGTTCCCTTCCTCTACAGCAGGTTTTTATTTCTCCAAAATGGCTGCTTTCCATGTTATTAAAATTATATGGGGACCGGGGACAGCACCTGCCTGGCAAGCATGAGGTCATGAGTTTGATCCCTGGTACAAAAAAAAAGTTATATGTATATAGCTTCTGGGCCTGGAGAATTCTGATTGACCACATGTGTGTCAGGATTCAGCCCAGTGCATGGCTGAAGCAGCTTCACAAGCCAGACGTGGTGGTGCACTTGTAACCCCAGCACTCGGGAAGCACAGGAAAGCAGGAAAATCTGCACAATTTCAAGCTCAAGGGCTGCCTGAGCTACAGAGTCAGACCTCCCACCCCATAAGCAAACAGAAAAGAAGCTTCACATACACTGCATACAGAAATTGGAGAATTACTCCTTTAGTGACTCTGGGGCAAGCAACTCTTCCCTTCTCCTAAAGAACTGTATACATGGTATTGTTTAAATTTCTTCCTTTCTCATTTACTTGAATGTTCAGAGCAGCCGATGTGGATTTCTCTGTAACAAACCAAATATCTGACCTATTATACCTAGCTGCCATCTTCTTTATCTTTAATTGCTATTAGTTTCTTCTCTAAATCATGGGTCTAGGTCCTTTGATTAAATCTGCTGGAATTTGCAAGAGATGCCAGGTGCCAAAGTGAGCATTTTTTATTACCATCCTTTCCTTCCCTTCCCTCCACAGTGTACCTGGATGGAACCAAATCTGAGGAGGACCTCTTTTCAGAAGTCTATGAAGATCTTACCCAAAAACTAGCAAACCAGAGTCCAAGCACTGTTCTAGCAAAGTAGACAGTGAAGGGTAGACAGCCAAGAAAATAGCTCATCAGCTAGGCCAGAGCGGGACACCCAGGGCTGTATTCATTCACGCTTTGCTTTGAGGATAATTCAGAAGACTTGATTGTTTTATCAGGATATTTTTAAGGGTAAAAATACTTATCTTTTGTTCTCTCTCTCTCTCTCTCTCTCTCTCTCTCTCCACTTAATGATATTCATGCTATTTTAAAATTTTGGTACATGGCCGACCCAGTGAGAGTGATATTACCCTACTGGGAGGGTGAAACTGAAATACTGATAATTTTAATATTTATTGAGCTCCCCTTTTCCTTTACTCCCTTAAATATTTTCTTTAAAGTTTATATTTTGCAGATACCTCAGAAATAAGCACAAGATTTTAAAAATGACTTCTGTTTCTTTAAAGTTAGACAGTTCTTTTTGTAAGAGTGAGGACATCCTCCTAAATCCAACTCAAGTTAAAAAAATACAGAGGTGGCGGTGGCTCCGGGCCTGGCTGGATTAAGGAACTCAGATGGGTTCCTCCGTGCTCTGCAGCATTCTGTCCAAGTTTACTTCGAAGGAAAGTTCTCTCCACCGAAAGACAGGATAATCCTCATCGGCCCTGCAGCCCTGTGTGACAAAATAGTTAACCCTTTTTTAGATTCCCTGTGAAGGAATGAATGTCAGATGGGCTGTGGAAGACAGGAAGGTTTATAAGTCCTTCTCATCACTTTTGTGTAAAATTATTTTGAAGAATTTTCTTCTTTTTTTGTGGTATAAAGGTTGAACTCTGGCCTTTCTTGCATGCTGAGCATATGCTCTACCTCTGAGCTGTAATCCTAGCCTTAAACAGTTCCTTAAGAAGTAATTTTCCATGGTAGCTCAGCTGAAAAGGCCCAGGGAGGACGTTGCTAGGTGCTGCTTGGGTTGCAGGACTTGCTAGACCAAGCCCTGTTGCCAGGACTTGGCATACTGAAGTTGGTCTTCTCCGACTTAAGATCCCATTCTGTAAGTGAATATCCCACCTAAAACCTGATTTTTAACTTTCCCAAAGGGAAAGCAAGGTAGGCAGTAGAAACAAAAGAATAAGGAAAAAGCATTTTGGAAGACATAGCTGCTGGTGTATTTACTACATGAGTTACAGGGCTCAGTGGGCCAAATGAAGTTCTTAGCGGACAGACCCAAGAAGAGACAATGGCATCACCCCAGATTGAAGACTGCACATGGTTCTGGTGGAAGCTGTTGCACTTAGCACACTTACTATCATCTCAGAATAATTAGGTTTCTTGTGTGTTCAGTAAATTCCTCCCTGGCCCGGGACACTGAGCCCAGCAAGGCAGCCTGTTGACCACAAACTCTCCTGATTAAAAATCAGTTGTTCCTGTGGGCATGAACTTCTTCAGAGAAATGTTGGGACCATTTTAAAATGTCTTCTTGCAGTAGAATCAATAATCCACAGCTGTGCCCCCACCCTTGTCATTTGTTACTCTGATGGAAGACTGGTCTCCTATAATGTACCTTGGGACCAAGTGAAGCTGATACTCTGAGCTAATAAGTCATAAATTACTGCCCCTGAGCTGAGCCCTTGTCTGAGAATGATCAGTGGCCCAGGGACAGCTTCCTGGTATGTTTCTGCTGCTGACCTCCTGTGCTGTGTTCTAGGAAATGGCTAGTGGTTGGTTCCAATTCTCCTTTAATGGCCAAGACACACACTGGGATTTGCTTAATCCCGTACCTATGAATAAAGATGAATGGAGCCTTGGTTATGTAGCTCAGGTAACTGTACCCTGTTCCATTCCAGACCCTGACTTTGCCATATATCTGTTCCAAGACCCAGAACAGCTGGTATGTCTCAGTGCTTCGAGCTCATAAAGTGCATTTCGGTGTATGTGACTCACCTCTTACTTTGTTGGTGTCCAAAAGGCAGTTAAGAAAATATTTAATGATGCTGCTTAAAGGTATCAGGTTTATGTTTTAGAATCTAGGTAAAAGATAAAGACAGTAGAGAAAAAAATAACATGACACTACAAGAGATGTAAATCTGGAAGCCCATCAGCTTTTCCTGCTTCTAAGATTTATGGTAGTTTCTCTGCTGCATAAATAAGTATCGGTGCTATTTATAGTACCCCAGGACCTTTCCTAGTTCCACCAGCCACTGCATGCAGACAGAGCGTAGGGAGTGGCTTTCGGTGTAATCCGGTTTACCAGAAACAGCCCTTGTCTGCTGCAGTCACCATTCAAGGTGACATCCTTGGCTTGCAGGAAGGATGGAATGGAAGGTGGTTATTGTTTGGGAGGAGAGTCCTCTCCGTAAGAGCATCAGGAACCTGGCTCTCTGGTGTCCTCTCTTCTCTCCTTGGGACAGTCTGCAGCCCCCTAGGACCTGCTCCTGGCTCACTGGGTCTCAACCTTTTCAGAGCTAAAAACTAAGTTTGTCTGTTTCTGTCTTTTCTTCAACACTGCGTGTAGCATGACCTGACGTCAGTAAGCAAGTGATTGTAACGATTGACTTTCTTTGTCTCGGTCGCTCTTCTCTACAGATGTTTGCAGCTCTATTTTTCCAAGATTTCCTTTATGTCAAAAGAACTTAGTTGTACCGATTGTTGACACTCCCTCTCCTCTTCAGAGAGCTCCTCAGCTGCCGTTCTCTGCTGCTCAGCCAGAAGTCGCTGAAGTTCCTCTGTAGATCATCCCTGAGTATTCTTCACCAGCTCCTCAGCACCACCACTGTCTGCCTGCAGGCCTGTGGACTCTGCTGCAGTACAGTGTCGTCAACCACAGGACAGCAAAGGCTCAGGCATAGCCTTCAGAGTCTCTGTCCTGATAGGCCACACTTTCTCCTGGCCAGATCTCAGTGTCTTTAGAGAGACACTGGCCCAGGCTTTCTCAGTTAGCCTCACAAAGAAAGGATGTTGTAAGATTCCTTCCAGAGCTCTTTAAGGGTCAAATCTGTATCTGAGATCACTTGGAAACACTTGGGAAGGGCTACTTGGTCTCTGGCTTCTTAAAGTCAGCTGTAACTGCTGGTCCTTAGGCTGTGGTAGAGGAGTTCTATTAGGTGGGAGGAACATAACTGAGAGCCACGGGAATGTTTCAGCCAATTCTGCAAATCTCCTGGGTAAGCAGGAGCATTGTCCATGATGAGGAGAGCTTGAGAGGTAAACCTTCGTCCTCTAGATATTTCTTAACAGTAGGATAGAAAGCCTCCCTGATCCACTTAAGCAAAAATTCTCTTGTTACCCAAGCTTTTGCACTGGATCTCCATGCAACCTATTCTTGGCACGTGGCAATAAGGTTAGCCTTTCCTTTAGAGGCTTGTGGCCTACATTTTCTTCTCTTCCTGGATAATATGTTCTCCTGGGCATTTTCTTTGAGAAAAGGCCAATTTCATCACAGTTGAGAACTTGATGAAAGCAAAAGCCTTTTCTCTGTGTCTTCCTCTCAAAGTGGTGTGCATAATCTTCAACACCGCTTTTATCAGCACTGGCTACTTAAATTATGTTTTATGAGATCCGCACTTATGGCCCCAGCTTCTTTGCAAATTACAGACTCAGATAGGCTGTTGCCTGCCATCTGCCTTTTGTTTATCCACACTTACGGCTTTTCTACCTCATCAAGCACTATCGATTGTGACTTACTAATTTGAGTAACACCTTTGACAACACTGGCTTCCTTATACAAATCTTCTCTCATAAGGTTGTCAAGATGATGAATTTCACCATGTTGCACATATTAATGAGATCAGTCACACAAACACTGCTCTCATATTTCCCCACAGTTTCCTTCTTTTTGATTTTGATTGCTTCCTTTACTTTCCTTCCTTCACTTCTTTTTGAGCTACTATGGGATATTTAGATAGCATAATTGTAGCAGTTAAATAAAGCATTAGCCAAAATCATGTCCACAAACATGCATGACTGGGCTCAGACAGACAGTTAGGTAAGCTTACATAAACTTTTCTGGCATCGCAGGTCTTTGCATCTGATAAGCAGCCAGCATTTGGGTCAATTAAACCTAAAATATCAGGTATAACCCAAGTTACATGCGAGGCTGGTCTTAACTTGAGGGTCCTCTATATGTGTGCATGGATATACACAGATCAGGTACTGTAAGACACTGACCTTCTATATTATACACTGTGATTTTTTTCTGTTTTTAATTGTTTGAATACTGATCATAACTGATGGTTTAGAAAATGCTGCTCCCTCCTGTCCCATGGCAGTGCCCACCATCTGCATATAGCAGCACTGCCACGTGGGTGAAACCTGTAGCTCACTACAGCACCTCGGGCATTGGCGTGTTTTGCTGTGGGCTTTTCCCCTTGTGTCTCACACCATTGTATCTCTGTGCTGAAACTTTGATAGGTAGAAGGTTTTCCTGTGTCTTACTGTGTTTTTGTCAAACTAATCGTCTAACCACAGAAATAAGCGGATAACTTCAACCTTATGTAACAATGGGACTCTTTGCACTGACAGGAGAGCCACATAGTGTGATTTCTTCCTGCCTCTTTCAGTACTGGACCTGAAATTATGTACCACTTGTCCTTGTGTTTATTGATAATAAGAAATGCTATCATTGTCTTAATACTTATAAAATATTTTTTCATTGACTTACTCAGTGAGCCTTCATTATTTCTTCATCTCTAGCTCGCACTCAGTGATGACTGGAGGGTTCTTTTGGGTCCCCCACACTGCAGGAGAATACAGAAGGATTTCTTGATGGCAGCCACTCTTCCTGAAGAACACTGGAATCTCAATGTTGTTTTAATTTGCATCTCTCAAATGACCAATGATGTTGAACTTTTTTTTTGTATTTGCCATTTCTTCTACTTTATCTGAGAAGTACCTCTTAACTCAGATGCCCATTTTGGATTGGATCTTTAAATTTGAGAAAAGTCTGATCTTTTTCAGTTCTTTATATGTTCTATATCTTTATCCTTTGAGGAACAACTGACTGAAATTTTTTCCCACTCTGTTGGTTGTTTTTCCACTCTGTTGGTGATTTCTTTTGCTGTGCAAAAGTATTTAATAAGGTTACATCCCAGTTGATGATTCTTTGAAGTAGTTTCCATGCTATCAGAGTTTTATTTAGGAAGTCTTTACCTACTCCCATGTCTTCAAGAGTTCTGTCTCTTCTGTTTTCCAGCAGTTTGTGTCTGTTTTAATATTTAGATTTTTGACCCATTTCAATGTTAGTTTAGTGTATGGTGAAAGACATGGGTCTAGTTTTAGTCTTCACCATGCAGAAAGCCAGTTTTCTAGCTCTATTAAAGAGGCTATTTTCCTTCCAGTAAATGTGTTTGCCCCTTTTGTTAAAGGTAAGGTGATTGAGAGTGTTTGAAGTTGTTTCCACATGTTCTTATCTGTTCCACTGATCCTCGGGTCTTCTTTTTTTCCCAGTACCATGCAGTTTTTATCACAACAGCTCTTTAGTATAATTTGAAGTCAGCAATCGTGATGCCCCCTGCCTTGCCTTTTTTCCCAGAATTGCTTTTACTATTCTAGGTATCTTCTTATTCCTCAAGAAATTAACCAGTAAGGCCAGGGATTTAGCTCAGTGGCACAAGCACCTGCCTGGCAAATGCGAGATCATGAGTTTGATTCCTGGTACTAAAAAAAAGAAATAAACTAAAAATGCTGACAGAGCTGTGGAGGGAAAGGAACCATTTTCCACTGTCAATGGGACAAGAACTGTAGAAGTCAGTGTGAAGATTCTTCAAAAAACTAGGACTTGACATGCCATTCAACTCAGCTATTCCCCTTCTTGGTATCTTCCTGAAAGAAAAATTTTACATGCACACCTATAATCCCAGCACTCAGGAGGCTGAGGCAGGAGGATTGCCATGAGTTTGAGGCCAGGCTGGACTACATAGTGAGTCCAGGCCACCTGAACTGCATAGTGAGACCATGTCTCTAAATAAATAAATAAATGCTACATACTACAGTGATATATGCACACCCATGTTTATAGCAGCACAGTCTGTAATAATTCTTGGAAACAACCCAAATGCAAATTAATTGACACATGAGTAAAAAAGTGTGTTTTTTTATACAATTGAGTACTCAGCCATATAGAAGGATACACTTAAGACACAGCAAATAGATGCCCCTTGAGACCATACTCCCAAGTAAAATAAATTGAACAGATGTGTAAACATCACATCATCTCTCCAGTGAGAAGCTGAAAGTGTAAATAAGGACCAAAATGTATAGTAAATATCGTGAAATAAACCATTCAAAAGAAAAGGGGAACTAGAGAAGGGGAAAGGGAGGAAGGGAAAGGAAAACAATGAGAAAAGAAAGATAAAATGGAGACAAAGCTTTGTAAATGAGAAGAGCGGTTGAAGAGGGAGGGGAATGGGAAAAAGTCAAGGAGGCGTCAAGATATATTATGTGATCACGGTGTTTATGCAAACTGTACCAATGAGCTTATTAAAGAATTGAGAATGAAAATAAAATCTAGGCTCAGATTACAGTTCATCCACTTCCTAGCTAAATGACCAAGAATCACTCTAAGGTCTTTATTTTCTCATTTTAAGGCGGGGCTGTAACAACAGTACTTTGTATGCACATTTAGTGTACTGCGAATAAGCTCAGAATCCTTAGGTCTGCTGTCCTGGCTTTCTCAGATCCGTATCTGTGCACCTCTCTACCCTCATTTCTCATCAGAGCCCGGCCAGGTGATCCCCTCTCACTGCACGGAGGCTGGGAAGGGGGCACCACCTTAACAAGCTCACACTCTTCCATTGCTTTGGGGTACCACTAAGGACCAAAAGCAAATGTCTTTTGGAAAAGAATAAATAGGAGGGTAACTCAGAAGTACCTACCGCAGCATTTCTTCTACAAACCCCTTGTGTCAAGGCTTGACATGTTTTGTATTATTTTAGCAGGAGTGTTTTGCTGTTGGGGGTAAAAGTGTAACACGATTATTCACACTCTGTCTCTAAGAATTTCTGAAACGCTTTCTTCTGCAAGATGGAGGCAGAGCCTTGCTGATGGAGAATTGCTGTACTTGACTTTTCTTCCCAATTCTGTAGGTAAAATTAGGTCAGAGAAGGTTTAGGGGTAGGAGTAGGGAGTGGCCCTGCACAACAGGCATTAAATTTGCAAAACACTCAAGTAACTGAAATAACTTTTTATTTGTCGTTATCAGTGAGAAATAAATTGGAACCTTGAAGTCAAGAATCCCAGGTGAGGGGCTGGGGATTTAGCTCAGTGGCATAAGCACCTGCCTTGTAAGCAGGCGGTCGTGAGTTCGATCCCTGGTACTGGTAAAAATGAAAAAGACAAAAAAAAAAAAAAAAAAAAAGAATCCCAGGTGCTTCCATTTCCGTCTGCCCTTTCACATTACTGGTGCTCTGTATCAGGGCAATTCATGTGTGTATGAAGGCACCCACTTAGGAAGACAGTGTTTGACAAGAAGCCAGTCTGCTCACTTCTTCACTTTCTGTGTATAAGTAACCTCAGTCTGTTTAAGATGAGTATGCTATGTGAATTCTTCATTATTCATTCCTGTGGGCTGGAGCTGGACTTAGTGGTGTTCTTCCATAATCTTAGCACTTGGGAAGCTGAGGCAGGAAGATCACCATAAGTTGTTTTTGTTTTTTTTTGTTTTTTTTTTTTTGTCTTTTTCGTTTTTACCTGTACCAGGGATCGAACTCATGACTGTCTGCTTGCAAGGCAGGCACTTATGCCACTGAGCTAAATACCCAGCCCCAAGATCACCATAAGTTTGAGGCCAGCCTGGCCTCCTTAGTGAGACCCCCATAAAAAAAAAAAACTAAAAGCCATGGGAGGTGGAGATTTAAAAGCTGCAAACAATTGTACTAAAGGCTGAGATTTGAGCCTACAGTCAACCACGCTGAATTTAAATCCATCAACTTAACTTTAAGGGTAAGCTTGGGATGTGCACAGAATCATAAAATACTGGAGCAGAATCATCTGCCCCAACACTGTCTGGGCTTGGGAGATGAAACCAGAGCTGGTGACCTATCCGGCTCCACACAGCTGCCAGTGGCAGGGCCAGGCCACGTTCTCAATACCGTGTAAGCATGGATGTGGTTTTCATTTTAGAGCAAAGAACAGCAGAAAAATCGCCTGCTAGAACTCGCCATGGCTCCCTCCCTTCCTTAAAGGGAGCAAATCAAGGAGCCAAGAAAGCGGAGTGCTGTGTCAGGGAAATGTGAAGCTTTCTGGTTTTGGATTTCAGAGTGCACTCAGGCAGGCAGGCAGCCAGCTCTGGAGGTCACTGTGGACCGAGGAGCAGTGTGAGCTCCTGGAGCCTCGTGCCGCTGGCTGTGCTGACCCTGGGTTTGTGGCTCTAGCTGTTCATACCATCAGTGGTGGGGAGCTAAGGAAAAGTAAGGTCATAGAAAAGGCCAAAGAGGCATTACTCTGTTGTGTGCACACATGGAAATAAAACTGCAGTAACAGCTTTGGAGCCAGTCAGGGTGGTGTGACATGGAGATGAGAGAACCTCAGAACCGAATAGCCTACCAAAGGGTGTGTATCTAGTGCTCAGGAGTCTGGAAACGAGCTGTTGATGCAGTACAGACATGCTATGTTTCATATCCGGGTGCTCAAGAAGTTAGCATTCTTATTCAAGATTAAAATGAGACTAAAATTCATATGAAGAGGAAATCTGTCTTGACTCTTCCCTCAAAACTTGCACAAGGAAGTTCTCTGTGTTCATAATAGAGGTCCCAGGATCTCAGTACCAGTCTTTAGAGCCCTGTTCAACCCTGGATTGCTGATGAGTTTCTGATCTGCAGAAGGGTCTTAGAATTGGCGTTTCTTTTTTTTTTTTTTTTTTTTTTGTCTTTTTCCTTTTTTATTGGTACCAGGGATTGAACTCACGACTGCCTGCTTGCAAGGCAGGCGCTTATGCCGCTGAGCTAAATCTCCAGCCCCAGAATTGGCGTTTCTAACATGCATTAACAGTTCTGAGTAATACAGGTCACTTGAGGGCCATGCTTTAGGAAATTATTGCTCTACTGTGGACAGAACAGCTTGCAAGCCTAGAGGAATCCATACTGGGATGTTGGGTGGACACTGAAAGCCAGAAGTCACCTGTGTTCATCCCTGGAGACAACAAGAGTCACTCTTGTGCTGGTTATTGACTGGACTGGCTTGGAGTTCAAATTCTCTCGTCTGGCCTCATTGGTGGAAATGAACCTGGGCCCTGTAAATACTTCTCCCAGTAGTCTGGTGTCCAGCTTGGTCTGTGTGGGGCTCTGGAAGGACATGGCTGGACGGAAGGCTTCATGTGAGATTCTTGTGTTCTCGCCAAGCGCCACAGCAAGGATGGCTTCAGATTTCCACACCCCACGCACCTGGCAGGCAGTAGCCCATTGGGACCAGAGCTGTAGGGAAAGGCCCCAAGCATGCTCCTCTGTCATCCAGGGACCAGGCAGGGCCTGCTCCTGCAAAGCCTGGCTCCCCCTGCTGCAGGGAGGCCGGAGGGTCCTCGGTGAGCTGGCCTGGGCTCCAGCTCCTCTTCTGTCCTCTGTAGTACCCGCTTTACGTCTTACCAATCCTTTGTTTATTGTGTATTTATATAATAAAGATAATATTAAACCATCTACTGGCATGTTTATATTTTTATTTTATATCTTACTCATTTTAAACACTGACCTATATATTATCTATTTGTTAAAGTTATATGCATTTATGTATTAGATGTTTAAACATAATTGTATTCCTTATAAAGCACATAATCCTTGTGCAGGCATGGTAGTGCATATCTGTGATCCAGCACATGGGAGACTGAGGTAGGAGCAGAGCTGTAAATTTGAGGCCAACTTCAGCTACCTATTCAAAGCCAGCCTGTACTATCTGCAAAATCCAGTCTCTAAAAATAAAAATAAAGCACATAGTTCTTTAAATTTTTCCTGTTCACATCATTGCATGACTTCTGTCTCCTCACTGGGCTAATTCAGATAAATACACTGTTCAACTAATTTATAAAAGATCAATTTCCACAACTGTGTGACTTTTTTCTCTTTTTGTTTCTGCTTTGTTTTCTTAAACTCTTACCACTTATTTCCAGGATACTACACAGCCTTTGCCCACATAATTAAAATGTTACAGACATGGGCTGATGCTATAGCTCAGAGGTAGAAAGTTTCGCTGGCATACGCAAGGTCCCAAGTTTGATCTCCAGTGAAGATTGCAATCTTTTGGTTTTACTTAGCATACCCTTTTCTGCACCAGATTTCTTAAACTTTTTGGGACCATTTTGGGAACTCTATACTCAAAAGCCGAAAGAGAGGCTTGGGTTTTTGTGTTTAGGATTTGGGGTTAATTTCTTGATACAATTTGCTTTTTAAACAGGATCTATCATCTACTTGACTGAAGGGTTTATGGAAGAACTTTCATAAAACTTTCATAAAAGTAACCATGAAGAACTAATCCAACAGGACAATAATTTCTGACAGTGATAATGTTGTGATGTTCTTTAATCACTCAAAGTCTACTGCTAGGTTTATTTTATTGTATAGGCATATAGACATCTACATAGAGACTAAACTTCATAGTAATAATTATAACAATAATAAGTTTTTAATCACCTATCATGCATTAGGTACTGCATCGAATGGCAGTAAAAAGTGTTTCCAAAATCTAGAAATAGGTAAAAGGGGTTCCTGCATACTCTTTCAGGATTTTCTAATTACTTAGGAGTGTTCTTTGATCTATTATTTTCTCTTGACTAGGATATTTTAAAGCCTACAAGGGTAAATATTAACTTGTAGAAATTGGTAGCCAGAGTTTTCTCAGCCTTAGCACTACTGACGTTTGAGCTAAATACCTCTTTCACGGGGGCTGTCCTGTTCACCCCATTCTCTCACCACCAGTTGGCACTGCTTCAGTTGTGACAAGCAAATCTTCAGACACTGCCAAATGTCCCCTGAGGACAAATTCATCCCCCCAAGAATTGATGCAAATTAAATTTATCTAAATGTAAGTGACCTGGTAGAAACAATAACTCTAGAAGTTGCTTCCCTGACTCTACCTGTACACTAAGCAGTTTTATGTCACATTAACAATCTTATCCAAGTTCTTGTCTTTTGGGCCCACAAGCCCTCCGTGGTCTCCAGCTCCCCTTGAGCCAGCTTTCCGTCTTGCTGGTTCCCTCATTGACATGCAAAGTGAATGTTTGAGACATGCTTCCTTTATATATGTATGAGAGTCATATTCTTCACTTTTTGAAAAGTATTATAGGCTATTCTACATACTTTACTTGCTCCTTATAAATTACCATGTAATTAGAGGCTTTGAATAACAAAGTAGCTGCTGTGGGGAGGTTCAAAACTCACATTTTCGTGGTTCAGATACTGAAATCTTAGCCTTCTGATGCATTATGTTATGCGGCTGATTCCCAAACACCAGCTTTCTGCCGTCACTACACCCACCCTGCAGTTTACTATACCTACACCAGAAAAAATGTCACCACTCAAGATCCAGGAGCCAATCAGAGAAGCCTTTAAACTTTGGAGTATTTGGTGCTCACTTTATTATATCCCAGAAGCCACTGGCTGGGAAAGTGGTCATACCTGTTGGATGATTTGAGGTGTTACTGCTATATGTAAATCTTGAACAGTGTGAAAAAATAACATGAGTCCTTGCAGTTGGAGACCTTGACTCAACTCACATTCAGACATACTTGTAGGTTCTAAGAGCAGTGAGAGGTTCAAGGTGTGAGAAATAGCATCGATGAATACTGCTCGAAATCATTTTTTCACCCAGATACATACAGGAGCACAACATGTTTTGCACCTTTGCCACTTATCCTGCCATTTCCTGAAAATTAGGAATTACTCCACTGGACTGCAAAAGAGGCACGAAGATGTTATTGGGGGCACTCGTGCAGTCAGTGGTAGAGCCAGACCTCTTTGGTTTACTTCGGTGTAAACTGAAAACTATGTCTCTTTTCCAGTCCAATCAGCTTTCTTCTGTTATCTTTTTTTCCTTTCTGGTAGGCTGGCAGGGAGGCTGTGATCAGAAAAGGAAATGACCCATTGTTGGGACATAGTAAGTCTAGGCCTGCATTTGTAGGCACCTCTGACTCATGGGGTGTCCTGTGCTGTTAGAAGGGGAGAAAGAAGTCCGGCGTGGGGCAAGGAGGGCAGTAGCATCCCTGGCCCCATGTGCTGACATGAGGGCAGGCAAATAGGCAATGCACCAGACTGTATGAAGTCAGACACTAAGTTCTCGTGCCAGCTCCAAGCAGGTCCTGCAAACCTGAAATTATTCATTGCTACCTCATGTATTTGATTCAAAAGGTTAGAACGTAAGATGTCTGCAGTCAGATGCCAGTGGCTGGTGAGTGTGCACTATTATTAGCTCCATCTACTCTTGACTCCATCCTGTGAGCCTAAAATTGCTCTTAAGATCAAATGACATGTTGTAAAACTCATCTGAGGAACTCTAAAGGGATCTAGATATATTAAAGTTGCTAAAAGCTTATTAGTTTTAAGCCTATCATTATGTCTAGAGGTACATCATTCATAACCCTTAGGGTCTTAAAAATAATTATTATTCCCCCTCAGAGTTTCTCTTGATGCTCCTTTTAACCATTTTCACCTTACAAAAATAGTGGGTAAGGATAGTAAGCATGCGTGCATTTTCTCCACGGCCTACACATTAGGGTGCTTCTCAGCCTGTTTCCTGATAAGCAGCGTATGCCCCCCATGGCCTTCCCCCTGAAGGACACCAAAATCCCAGCCATCCATCCATATCGAGCTGCTTCTCTCTCATTCTCTCTGATGGCTCTCTGTGGAGAAACCACCCCACCTACTGTGAGACTACACCCAGCTCTCCCGTGTAGCCAGCCACGTGGAAAACAGCTCCATTTGTCCAGAGCTAGCACCAGTCATGAGACGGAGTCCAGCCCTCAGGCAGTCTGTGGCTGACTGAAGCCCAGCTCCATTTCAACTTCATGAGAGCCCTTTAAGCAGAATCACCCGCTTAGCCAGCCCCAAATGCTGAACTTGGAAACGGTGCAGACGACTTTGTTTTGATTGCTAAACTTTAGATAATTTGTGATGCAGCATTAGATTAAAGATGCACAACCTACACAAAACTATTGGCCAAAGTGGATTTGAGCTGCTTTTCTGCCATGTGCAACAGAAGACACTGTGAATAATATACTTACTGTATCAGAATCACTTGAGATGAGCCCTGGGCAGCTGTATTGTTAAGAGATCTAAAGATGATTCTGATAAACAGCCCCAGTTTAAAACCTGTTTTATTTAAGAACAGAGAGGTTCACATGTAATTATACTCTGTGATTTCAAATCAGGCAGACTTCCTTCCTTCTTCTGTGCGATTCACAGCTTTTAGGGCAGTGAAACCTCAGCTGCGTGTCTCCAAAATTAGGGAAATAAAAGGGTTTTTTTCTACCTTTTATCTTTTCGAAGATAACCAAGACTTTTTTTCCCCTTTGGTGGGGACAGAATCTCACGGTGTAGTTCAGTTAGCCTTGAACTCAGTATATGGCCCAGGCTGGCCTTGAATTCATGACAATCCTCCCACCTCAGCCTCCTGAGTGCTGTGATTACAGGCATGTTCCACCATGCCTGGCAAACATTTTCTAAATACATGCAGACATTTCCTTTTATCCAGAGAAACTGAGGGCAATGATAAGATGCTGGTGCTTCTCTCCTGTCCTTCCTCACAGATTCAGTCCAAAAATGCCAGGTTTCCAAAGCTGGAACTGGGTAACAGGAATAAATGAATGGCTGCGCATTTTTCTTCTCCATCTCCTCGTGGTTTTTTTTTTTTTTTTTCCATAACCATGCAGACAGCTCCTGAGAGCGCCCATACACCTGACGGTCACCTGAATCTGGTGACACCTTCACATCTCCTAGTGTAATACCCTAGGAGTCACCTTCAGTCCCTCTCTCCTTGCACCCACTCATGGAAACTGCCCCCAACTCTCAGTGTTTGTATCTCCGAAGTCTCTTATTGTACCTCTATCCTCGCAGCCTGTGTTGATCCCTGGTTTAGTCAATTCCAGCTGCTCCTTCACAGGCGGCTGCACCAACAGTCTTTCTGTCTTATAGTTTGGTCTGCGGGTAGCCGCAGCTGGGGAGGCAGTGTTATCAACTGTCAGTCCCATCTCATCTCTCCCTTGATTACAAATACACCACTGCCCTGCATCCCTGCATGCATCCTTCCGCAGTATCGTGGCTGAAAATGCCTTCCCTCCATCATGAGAAAAAACCAGGTAACCCCATTGAGGCAGAGACTGAGACAGATGACTGGCACTTTTCCAGAGTATCAGGGCCATAGAAGAAAAAAAAAAAAGGCTGTTCCCAGACCAGAGAAGCACGAGGACAGGCGACAGTGCCAGGCCTTGGACTGGAGTCCTGGAGCGGAAGGGCCTTAGTAGGAAAAATGGTGGGATGTAATAAGTTGTGCAGTTTGGTTAATGCTGTGGTACCAAGTTCTGCATTTTGATCACTATACTACGATGACACAAAATATTGGCATTAGAAGGGCTGGGGGAAGAATATAGGGAAACTCAGGGTGCTACTCTCGCAGCTTTTCTGAAGTCTCGTGTTATTTGAGAAGGTGGATG